AAGAAGAAGAAGAAGAAGAAGAAGAAGAAGAAGAAGAAGAAGAAGAAGAAGAAGAAGAAGAAGAAGAAGAAGAAGAAGAAGAAGAAGAAGAAGAAGAAGATCTGAAAGGATGCAAAATTAAGACTTTGATTTCAGCTTGGAATAACTTCATATTAGAAACAAAATATAATCAGGATGTAACCTGCTATTCTTAATGTTTTCCCCTATTGCTAAACTATCGTTTATTTTATCTTGTACTGAAGATTCTTGATTCTTTTTTTAAGTCAATGTTTGTTTTGTTTGTTTTTAGTTTTAGACGCACATGTCTAAAAATAACACGTTTTAAGAACTACGGAACAAAACTATTTTTAACCTGAGACAAAGCAAAAACCCTTGCCACGGATCCTCCCAACCCAGATACGGAATTGCACTACAATCATACACTTCGTCAGTTGCCTACATTCCTACAATGAGCAAGTCACGTTTCCTGGAGATCAGGAAACCACCATAGTTCACTTCCCACTGCTGCTGAAGCAGCACTTAATTAGGTTTTCTGGATGCTCCGTGCAAACACTGGGCAAACGGTTGCTCCTGTTTGCTCACAGTGGGCCTAAACTTGCTGTTCTTGCTGGTACTCCTTTCAGAAGAGCAGAGAAGACGTCTTTGCGGGCACAGCTGCAAGAGTGCCCCTCTCCCTGCTTATTTGGCAACCTTGCGGTGCCCCGTTCTCCTTGCTAGAAATTGAAGCTCCAGAGAAGAATAAGGGGGAAGAGAATGCCCACCGCCTGTATTTTTTCTGCACTATCTTCTGACTAGGGAGCTCATCACACAGAGAGGATAATCTGTGTGTGCTGCCAGTCATGCCCTCGCTGCTTAGATGATGCCAAGCAGAAAGCATGGCCACTTGTTACACCATGCCAAACCCACTGGTTGATGATTACAGTCAGGGGGAAGGGTGTGTTTTCCTCCAGCGCCTCAGATGAACAATCCCACTGGAGGGTCACCCAAGTGCGTTCATGCATGCTAAGCAGTTTGGGGCAGGCCTACTCTGGACGAGGATGCCACGATGCTCCAGGAAGCAGCTTCAGAAGCTCATGTTGGTTGTGGTGCCAACACAAAAGTGTCTAACTCTACAAAGTGCAGCCTACGCTGAAATCAGGCGTATCGAAATCCATGCAGGCCTCCAAGAGAAATAAAAATGACCATAAACACCTCCACTTTTAAGGGAGAGAGAAATCACATACCGAACAACTTCTTCAGGGATGCTCAAGCGCTCGTATTTCAGGTGGTCTCTCAAGTCACTCAAGTAATTCAGATAGATCACCTTTTTCCCAAACTTGTGACTGAAAACACAGAAGAAGTTCTATCAGTATCAAAATCTGGAGCAGGAGGAACATCTGAACTGCTTATTATATAGAACCAGAGCGATACAAAAGGACTGAAGGAGCCATAGCATGGACATGCATGCATTTTCATACCATCAAATGTAGGCACACCAAGCTGGGGATCAATCTGAATAAAAATTACTGTCTTTCATCAGGGCAGAACTTCCAGTTGCATAGACTGGGAAACTATTCTTTTGAGAACTCAACAAAAATAGAGGTGAATATGTGTAGCTCAGGGTTCAACTGTGGAGTCCTTGGGGTTCTCTGAGCTTGGTTCTTTTCTTGCAAACGTTTCATTACCCAGCTAGGTCACATCAAAAGAGACAAAAGATCAGAAGATCGCCTCACCAGCAATCAATCTCCAGCAATCATCTCCAGCAATCATCGCCCAGATAAGCAAAGGTCACCACCAGGCACACAATCAAGCAGCAAACACATGCCAGTCAAGGAACTACAGTACCAGAGGAGCAAAACCAAACCCCCACCCCACCAGCACTGGCAAGGCAGGCCACAGCACATAAACAGAGAGCAACCCCCCTACCCTTTTAACATTGATAAT